TTATTGTGTGTGTGTGTGTGTGTGTGTGTATGTGTGTGTGTGTGGCCAGCTCAGCCCACCAGGGGGCGGGGCTGGCTGGCATGTGGTGCTGGGGGATTGAACCTCGGTTCCTGTGCTTTGCCAAGTTTATTCTAAGTAGGTGCTTTAGACCACTGAGCCATCTCTCTAGCCCCAAACACTTTTTTAAAATTGTGCCTTGCCTAGAATATCACCTTGAGAGACCCTCTAGACACAAATGTTTAATGAATGTTTTATACCTTATTCTACACAACAATTGCTAACTGAAAGCCCAGGAACAAAAATTTGTAAGTAGAACAATTTAGGATTTTGCATCCCAATCTCACACTAAATTCCACACTACAGATGCAGGCAAAACAACAGAGAATAGAGAAAACATAAAGTTACACGTACAGGTTCTCAGAGAAACATTGACATTACTCGAATTGGATACCCCAAGATCCACTAAGCTCTTGGGCAGCTTGCGGGCCATGCATGAACTTTCTCCTCTACTCTTCCTCATAATTCAGTGCTTGGCATGGCTGATATACATTCCACCTCCTCTGGGAAGCTCTCCCTCTTCACACAATGTAAGTTGTATCCCCTCTCTGCAACCCTATATGCAATAGCATGATCTATTTTATACTAAATACCTATGGAAATGCCAAAGTGTATTTTGGTGGAGAGAGAGCTTTGATCTCTTTCCTTGCAGGAAGTCAAGGCCATGAAGTCAGGGAAGAACATGAAGTTTGAAAGAAAAGCCCTCCTGTAGGAACATATTTCCTGGTTTAGTCCTACCATCAGCTGCACCTATCACAATAGGTCAAGGCCCCTGATCAACGGGGGATGCTTAGGGAATCCAGTGGTGTAACTTAGGGCAGTGCAGCTTTATGTAGACTAGGTTCTAGCACTGGAAGCCCCTGGAGGCAGGATTTGCACGCTGAGCTGCATGACTGGAGCAGATACTCTTGCTGTTCAAGCACAGGATGGATGAAAGTGCCTCCTGAGAACATGTCTAAGAGCTCCAGCATTGGACCCGCAGGCCAGACTACCCTGGGTTGTCCAGAGTGGAAATGAGTGTGTGTGGCCCCTCTAAGAAGAGAAGCCTAAGACATTTATGCCATATTTTATATGATCAATTTTCTTTTTCAAAGAGTTTTTCACAGTGCAGTTCAGGCTATTCCTGAGCTCACCCTGTAGCCCAGGCTGGCCTAGAGCTGTTAGTGATCCTCCTGCCTCTTGATTGCTTGGATTACAGGCATGTAGCACTGATTGAACATAGTGTCTTATAATACCTCAAACATTGTTGAATCCCTATTACTTTGTTTAATGAAATCTTGTATCTTTTCTAATGCTCTTTTTCTTCTATCGCTATATTTTCTTCTTTAAAGGAAAAAAAAAAACTGGGGAGATAGCTCAGTAGAATAAGCGCTTGCCTGGCAAGTGCAAGGGTCTGAGTTTAATCCCTGGTTCCACCAAAAAAGAAAAAAAAGAAAAAAAAAGAATAAAGATGGAAACACAGAAGAAAGTAACAGAAAATATTAAAAGTAAAAAATGGAGAAATCAGAAAAAATTAAAAAAAGGAAAGCCCTCAAAAGAAAGAGAATGTGAAAATAAAAGAATGTCAACAATAGGAGAGGAGAAGACAAATAGAGCAATACATGTTAACAAAAAATAATAAGAAGAAAAAGATTTAGCAAGGTGTGGTGGCACTGACCTAAATCCCAGCACTTGGAGAGCTGAGGCAGGAAGACTGTCATGAGTTCGAGGTCACCCCTGGATACATCGGGTGACCCTGTCTCCAAAACATTAAAGAAACACACACATGGATGGAGACATAAAAATAAATACATCAACCAATCAGAAAATTGTATGAAGTGTTGAAAAGGATTTCTCTGTGCTGGGATGGCAAACCTGCACACTGTGGTGGGAACCCATGCCCTGTGCCCACCTGCACAGCTCTCTGTGCCTTCCTAGGGCGTGTGCCTCCCTGAGAAGAGCAGCACTGGAAGTCCTTTACCCCTTTACCTCTCCTGCTTCTGGTTAGACTGCTAGATGGAGCTATTTGCAACCGGGGCTGCATGTAGTGAACCAGATTCCCTGTTCTCTGCTACCAAGTAGCATGGAATGAACCTTTATTTTTTGTTCCTCTTGGTCCTGGGGTTTGAACAAGGACCTTGTGCTTGCCAAGCAGGCCATTTACTCTTTTTTAAAAAATTTTTATTTATTTAGTGTGTGTGTGGCCAGCTCAGCCCACCAGGGGGCGGGGCTGGCTGGCAGGTAGTGCTGGGGGATTGAACCGCGGTGCTTGGCTTAGCTTGTTCTAAGTAGGTGCTTTAGACCACTGATCCATCTCACCAGCCCATGGCCATTTACTCTTGAATGATTCACTTGACACACTCCCAGGGCTGGGCAGATATTAAGCCCTGCTGCTCATCTGGGTCTGCAGAAGCCAACTCAGAAGGCAACAAACTGTCCCTGTGGTGAATGTGCAGCTGGAGCCACAAAACCCACTGACCATAACTGGCCTTGTGAGCCACATCCAGCATGCACTCATGTGTACTTGCTCCATGTCCAGACCCACTTTATCTTGCTGCCTGAGCCACCAATCTTAGAGTGAAAGTGACCTCCACTCTGCCATACCTCTGACCAAATGCCCTGCCTGGCCTGTGTTCCACAGTGGGGTTGTTGTGTGCCATCATGTTTATGCCCCAAGAATACACGAAAATTCTCATTCCGTTTTTTCACAAAATGCAGTACTTTATGACTTAATTTACATTGTATATTTCTAACACAGAAATGTATTCTACACTGTTTTATGGCTCAAAACATTAACATATTGAAATGAAGACCAAGGAGGGCCTGGGAGATGGCTCAGTGGAATAAGTGCTTCCCTGGCAAGCGCAAGGGCCTGAGTTCAGTCCCTGGTTCAGAAAAAAAAAAAAAAAAAGACCAAGGAGAAGAGGTGGGCCTGAAGAGCGAATCACAATTATCTCTTTCAAAAACATGGAAGGGCCCTATAAAGTTAGATGTAGAAACCTGAGATAAAAATTGGCGTTCAAGCAAAGAACAGTAACTGAGTTGATAATGCATGTGTCCCCTGTGTACTGATTTGCTACAGAAAAAAGCATAGCTCCACAAAACTACATAGTTACCCACTGGCAGGCATTTGACTCTAACCATAACCCTTGAAGAGACAGCAATAAATGTATATAACATATGTATACTACATTTATAAATTGTCCAGTGTGTATACAAAGGTCATTTTCCAGAAGTGAGGTGGCCTCCCTGAGGTATTATTGAACGTGGCTCTTTCCTGCACTCTTCCCTGGGGAACATGTAGAATACAAGTTAACTATGATACTTACATATGTGCTCATATGACATAAATGCAGTACCTTTGTGTTGGTGCAAGTCTGGAATTCCCACAATGTGGGGCTCGACCTTGCCACAGCCTGGGAACTGAAGGGAATAAAGGCTACCAGGCCCTGCTGCAGGGGGAGTGGTAGGTCAATGGCAGCTGGGGCCCAGCACCATCAAAACTTGAGGCATTTCAGAAAGTCCTTGGACTCCTAGTGGTCCTCCTATTTTCTGCCTACCTAGTGCTGGGATTATAGCCATGCTCTACAAGGCCCAGATTCTATTGCCCTGTCAGCGTACCAGGGGCAGGTTGGCGCGCCATGCAGTTCCAGGGATTGAATCCTGGCCCCTGAGCTTACCTAAGCAAACACTTTGTCTGATGAGCTATCACCTGACAGCCCCACTGTCAAGGCAGTATGGGGATGGGGGCTCTTCTGGTGCTCAAGCACAGTATCCCTGCCGCTCCTGTGAAGGCCTTTCAGAAAGGCGGTGACTCAGGAAGGACAGGTTCCAAGACCTACCTCACCTCGTCATGTGCATTAGGAAGTAAAAAAGTGTTGTGCTCTGCCAACACCCCTGATCCTTGCCCTTTGTACAAGACACACTCATTAGTGCCCTTCTCACCTGGGAGTCCTCAGGGCTATTGGTACAAAAGCTGAGCCTATTGGGTTTTCATGTTTGCTAGTGGTTTGCTTAAAATTCTGACTTACCAAAAGTACTTTTCACAGTTCATAAAAACTAAGCTATCGGGCCGGGGAGATGGCTCAGTGGAATAAGTGCTTCCCTGGCAAGCTGAAGGGTCTGAGTTCAATCCCCGGTTCCGCAAAAAAAAAGAAAAAACAAACAAACAAACAAACAAAAACTAAGCTATCGCATACATTGTTTCCATTCCCAGAGCTCTATGCAGACTTTTTTAAAAATTTGCTGGCTCAATCAATACCTCCTGTTTGTCTGTTTTTACGCCCTTACGTCGTCTTGGTCTTTCACAACCCTTAAGAAAATACTTAGGAAAAGTCCTTTGTTTTTTCCTCTATCATGGTGACAATAGTTTGTCAGGCAAGGGTAAGATGAAGGCCACCCTTGGTCTAATCTAATGTTTCTTCTACTGACTTGTTAAAGTATGAAATAATCACTCTTCGTGGATTTAGCGTGCTCTTCCTGACGATGAGGTTACTGGTGCGTTCAGAATGCTCCATGGTTAGTGTGCTTTTAGAGAACCAATACCGATGGAAGAAAACACCGTGAGCACCGGCTCGGACAATATGAAGGTGATGGGCAGAGGTGTGGCCGTTTGCGGGATCAATATTTGTGAATGAGTCCGCAGGCTTCACAGGCATGATTCTCATAACATCTCTATCTGTTCATTTTCAGCCCACGCAGGCAGCAGTGAAAAGCCAGACGGAGACTGCTGATATTCGATTACGGTTCGGCCAGGAGAGGCTGACGTTGCAGGAAAGGGACTCTGTCACAAGTTCCCGGGTTCCCGCCTACCTTTGGCGCTTCAGGCAGGCGCTTAGTTCAGCTTGCTCCTCACTATTGGCCCAGAGGAAGCGCCGCGGGGCAGCAGCCAATCAGCGGTAAGGAGGCGGGTTGTACGAACTGTCCAATGAGAACGGGCCGAGGTAGGAGGGTTCTTCCGGTGTCATGGCGCTGAAGTGCCAAGCTTGAGTTCCTGCTGAGTCGCCTAAGTTGCTAGGCCACCGGCTGTGACTCCTACTGGGTGTACGCTGCAAGAGAAGGACTCCACGAGACCTTGAAGCCACGCAATGGTGAGCTTGTGGGAGGAAGCCAGGGGTGGGCGGAATCGGGAGGTCGGAAGGAAGCGGCCTGAACCAGCTACAAGAACCCGCAGCCTTCCTGCTTAGCTCCAGATCCTGAGTATCTCATGGTCTTTGCTGCTTTCGTTCCTTTTCCCCTGTGGTGGTCAAGGCTGCTTTCAGATTTCCTGCACCTTGTCCCCACTGTGACATTCGTAGTCCATAATCCTGCCTTGGGTCGCCCGAGGAACAGCTTTACACCCATCTGGGGAGAGCGGGGGGGAGGGGAGGGAAAGGGAGTGTTGCGGAGACCCTAATTCAGATATGGGTTGGATTTGAGTGCAGTTATGACATGCAATGTCCCTGGTTTCCGACCTTTTAGTAAGAGACCTAGAAGTTCTGATTATAAATGTTAGTGACGCAGGGTTTCATATACATAACCCAGCTCTTCAGATATCTGCTTTTCTATATTCACAATGAATCTTAAATTGCCAATATTTCTTCATGTTGTCAAAGTCATAATATGTGTTAAATGCAGAGAAAGATTTAGCCTTGCGGGTGCTGTGACTCCGCGGGGTGCTTGCCAAGCATCCTTTGAAAATGAAGAGCATTTTATATTCAGTAGCCCCTGAAGCTCTCCCCTTAATCATTTATGTCAGATCCCCAATAACAATGATAAAGAACAGCGCTCTTGGTCTCACAGCATTGGGGAATGAGGTCATAAACCAAAAAGAGACTGTTGGAGAACTTTTTTTTTTTTTTTTTTTGCGGAACTGGGGATTGAACTCAGGCCCTTGTGCTTGCCAGGGAAGTGCTTATTCCACTGAGCCATCTCCCCGGACCCCCCTGTTGGAGAATTTTTATTGGAAACCCAAATAGCTCCCTGACTCCTTGGAAGCACCCTGAGAGGCCATGTGCTGTGCAATCAAGAGAGGATTACAGGTGATCAGAGAACAGCAATTGCTTCATTTTGAATGGCCACCTATTGCAGGTCATTGGGTATTTAAAATGGTGGTTTGGGGGCTGGCGAGATGGCTCAGTGGTCTAACGCACCTACTTGGAACAAGCTTGGTAAAGCACAGGGACTGCCGTTCGATCCCCCAGCACCACATGCCAGCCAGCCGCGCCCCCTGGTGGGCTGAGCTGGTCACACACACAATAAATAAATAAATAAATAAATGTTAAAAAATAAATAAAAATAAAGCTTTAAAAAAAAATAAAATGGTGGTTTGGCACTCAGGCTCTTAACATAATTTTTGTTACTGTGCAAGTTTTATAGAAAACTGGGATTTTGGGGTTGGAGAGATGGCTCAATAGAATAAGCACTTCCCTGGCAAGCGCAAGGCCCTGAGTTCAATCCCCTGTTCCGGAAAAAAAAAAAAGAAAAAGAAAAGAAAACTGGAATTTTAGAGAAAAACTGGTTAATTTGCACTTCAAATTCCTGGAAACTTGGATCTTAGTAGGGAATGACTGCAACGACCTGTAGTAGACAGGGGCTGCATTCCATGTTGTCTGAGGAAGTTCATTTTGGGGCCTCTGTCTGCAGTTCACTGTTTTATTTTAATTCTTATCAGTACGCCTTTGTTCACAAGTGTATCTCAGGACTTTTCCCTAAGTAGGAAACTAAATAAAGGTAACTAAATAAAATGTCCCTTACATTAGATTACTTAAATGAGGCCTTCACAGAGAGTTTAGAATGCTGAGAAAAATGGAGGTATACCAAGGAAAGTAAAGGGGTTCTTGCTAAATCAACCTTCTGAGAGGTCTGCTTGTTAATCCCGTATTAATACATCAAATTAGGGTATCTACGTGCACGTGTATCCGTGTGATATTGGTGTAGGAGAAGAGGGCACTCATCTCTGAAATAATTGCCATAATATTTGCAATATTTCTGCTTATTGTTTTAAATTTGAAATGTTGATTGAAATGGACTTTGTATAAAACAAACATGAAGTAGACTTAAATCCCCATAGTTAATATCTATAGGCACAAAAAGGAATAGAAATAAAAGGATATTTTTTAATCAGAAAGAGCAAAAGAAAGTAAAAATGAAATGGAAGAGCAAGGCTTGTTTGAGGAATCTTGGACTTGCAAAATCAGCGACTACACCTGTGAACTCTTCTGCTGAGGTCAAATTGTTCTTGGTGTGATAACAGTGGAAGGGTTATGTGCTGTTCTGGCTTGTCAGTGGGTTCACAGGCATAGAGGAAAGAGGGCAACTTAGTAACGTATACTATGTGTATGTCATCTGTTGCTACTGATTAATTCACATAATTGTTTGTTGAGCAAAATTAGAAAGAAAGTAGGCTTGTAGGTTTAAAAATACAGTGCGCATTATCATTGAACAAGAAAGGGAAGGGTTTTCTCTTGCATACGAAAGATTTCAAGATATGTTTGATATTTCTTAGTGCACTGGAAGTAGATGCAGAAAGTTTCCCTACCATGCCACAACTAATGTCCCCAACTCCATATTTAAAAGAAAATGTTTTTGACACTTGGTCTTACTAAGTTGCCCAGTGTGGGGAGAACTTTTGATACTGTTTGTAGGTCTGTGGCTGTTGAGGTGACAGGCATGTGACATTTTGCAAGTTCAAGATTGGTATCCACTAGTCGCCATGATTTACCAAGGTGTCAGTGGCTGGGTAAACATCAGTCAAACATGGTCTTTAATCCCAGCCACACTGGGAGACTGAGACAGGAGTATTGAAATGTCAAACTTAGCATGAGCAGTTGAACAAGATCCTGTGTCAACATGGAATAAAGATGTTGGGATCCACTTCCACTCTAACTCATCTAAAATGAATGAGGCTCTGAGTTAAATCACTAGTACTGAGGCCAAAAAGAAAAATTGTGTTATGGAAATCTTTGACTTTTGTAGTTTGTCTTCTGGGTTTCCCAAACTCTGATCATAGAACTTCCCTGTTGGCACCAGAAAAAAATCCTATTTGCCAGGACTTGCCATGATAGTGAAGAGCAGTAATGTGCCACTGCTCTATCCGCAACTGGACACAAAAGGTGAACAGCCAGTGATGTACACTATACCATGTTTTATAAAGTTCATGAGGTATTTGATATTTAATTTTTTTTTTTTTTTTTGAACCAGGGATTGAACTCAGGCCCTTCTGCTTGCCAGGGAAGCACTTAATCTACTGAGCCATCTCCCTGGCCCCTTGATACTTAATTGTGAATTTTGTATTGTGTTCCATATATTTGTCCAAACTCAGAGTAAGGCAAGTGTGTTGAACATATTATCCCTTATATCATATTATAGAACTTGCAAGAAACCAAATATAGAAACAATATAAAGCATTTTTTTAGCTTTATAAATATAGGGTACGGGGGCTGGAGAGATGGCTCAGTGGTCTAAAGCACCTACTTGGAACAAGCTCGGCAAAGCACAGGGACCGCGGTTCAATCCTCCAGCACCACATGCCAGCCAGCCGCGCCCTCTGGTGGGCTGAGCTGGCCACACACATACACACACACACACACACACACACACACACATAATAAATGTTAAAATAAATATAGGGTACGTCAAAAACAAAACCTTATGTAAATAACATCATCACATAATGAACCCAAATTAAGTTATTCTTGTCTGTTATGAAGCAGTAAACTGAAATAATTTTTTACTTCCATAAAATACTGTGATTTCTGTTTTATCTGCCTGAAAAATCAGATATAAGAGGATCAAGGCATTTTATTTATTTATTTGTATTTTAGTAAGGGTCTACAGGGTCTCACTACATAGATTGAACTCAGTGATTTGCCTGTGTTTAGCCTCCCAAGAGCTGGGATTACAGGGATATGCCCCCATGCCTAGTCTCAATCAAGGTCTCAGCGTGCCCCTGGGGCAAGGCCCCCACAGCAGGCCAGGGATTGAACCCTGGCCACTGCGCTCTGCCTAAGTAGGCACTGAGTCCCCTAAGCTATTTGGCTGGCCCTTAAGGCACTTTTAATAATAAAAATGTGTATGGTTTATAAATATCACTTTAAATATAGTAGTCACATTAGTTAATAAAGAAATCCAAATATGGTCTTTTCTGTAAGTTAACAAGAGTCTATGTTAATAAGATATTTAGGAACTTTGAAAAAGGGGTTCATTGATAAAATGATAGGTTGGGAACCTTGGGTAGTATCTCAGCTACTTCTAGAAAACTGCATTGTTTCTTTAATCATTGAGCATCTGTCCCATACTAAGATATCACATTTTGTAAATGTAGTGAGTTAGCTCAATTATAGTATACACTCAAGTGTTACATAAATTTAAACTGACTCCTTAAGAAAAGTAAATGTTAGATACTATAGTGAACTGTTTAGCTTTAGTAAATATTAAAGTGCTTCATTGCTAACGTGCATTTCTGTGTTAAATATACTGTGCGAATTTTGAGTTTCCTGAACCCTGTCCCTTGTGAGTGGTTTCATATTTAAACAGACACTTACAAGTCAATCACTTTTGAAAAGATTTTCCTAAGAATACAGATATCACCAAAGACATTTTACTGTTAATTAGTAACCATGTTGCAGAAACAGTTTCAGCAGTTTGGAGGTTGTAAATGTTTAGACTGTGACCTAATTTTATATAGCCAAGTAAGAACCTTAATTTCTAAAATCTCACCAAAGGCTTTAAAGTAAATTTTCTTAGACTAGGCAAATGCAGGTTTTTCTTGAGGTAATCAGAGCACATTTCATTTTGAACATGTTTGGTTATCTATCCCCATCTGACACATCTTAAGAAAGTCTTGAATGTGAGAAAAAGATAAATAAAACAAGCTTCCCTCTGAAAGAAAAGAGGGAAAAGTGCATACTTAGAAAATTGAAATTGAGATTATAAATTTTTAATTTGAGATGCTTTCTGTTCTACAGGGTAACATAAAATAACTGTTATTAAAGTTCTAGCCTCTTAGTAATGTGTGAAATTTTATTAAAGATAGAGTTTGAGGGGGGCCTGCCCCTTAGCTCAGTTCTTTAAGTGGCTGCTTCGACAAAGCAGTCAGGCTCAGGGTGCT